GGACCCCAGAAAGCCTTTAGGTTTTGGAGGAAATATTTGTGTGCCATTCTAAAGGCTAAAGTAGGATGATTGGGTGCAGATACTAGTAAGTGGATTTGAAACAATCAGACGTCAAACAATGCAAGGGGTTGCCTCATGAGGTGGTGATGGGGGATATTTATGCAGACCGCCTGTTGGAGATGCTGTTAAAACCCTAAATTGTTGGGGACAGTGGATGAGAGGACCTCTGAGGTCCTGGTGTTCTTTAGTTCTCAGACTAAGGCCATTGAAAGGAGCAAGCTGGGCTACTTGAAGAAAATTAGAAGTGAACAAAAGTATAGGGCTCTTGAAATCCATTTTAGCCATTTGAGAATGGTTGGATTGTTTCTGATGCAGTGGAGATGTTGAGGCAGTTGAGACTGAAGCTGTCCTTTAGGAAGAGATGGTTGGGTTGGGCTGGGAAAAAATGGATTGGAAACCGTTGAGAGTCTGACCGCAGCTAAGGCAAAGGACAGGGAAACAGAATGCTCTGGTTGTTTAAAAGTTCGTTTTCTATCTGAACATACTGAAGTTATGGATCATACCTTGATTTGAATCTGTAATTTCTAGAAGTTTGTGTTTCTAGCCCAGTTCTTGGACCATCAAGCCAGCTCATTGACCAAATACTTCAAGAAGGAGAACCAAGCAGCTCTCCATTTTCGAAAGGCTTCTGTAATGTAAATAGGAACAGCAGTCTTTCCAAGTTATTACCCTGTTAACAGGTTGACAGATATGTGCAAATTGTGACTCACTGCTCAATTTGGCACTAAATTAATGTCTTTCCGCGCCGCGTCTGCTCAAGTGTAAACTAGTCACCACTGCTGTGTTACTGCTTGTTTGCCTATATTCCAAAGGTAAAAATTAAAGTAATTTGATTCTGCCACAGAACAGAGTGTAACATATGGTGGAAGTGTAGGAGGGGAGCACGCTGTTCCTACCTGTCCTTAGCCCTGCTCTCAAAGTGGGGCGCCGCACTGCAGAGCCCGCTGCAGACGCTAGCAGTGCTCACTGTCTCAGGAGGCAACGCTCGGAGAGTACTGCCAGAGACCACCTCCCGTATCAACACTCCCTCTCTCAGCGAAAAAAAGAGTGTCATTTTTGTCTCCAGATTTTTAATTTGAGCCTCCAAGCTTTCCTTATTTCTGTCAAGTCACTAGTGGTTGATTTGTGTTTCGAAGGTTGGGTCTGTTTGAAAATGAAGTGTTTTGATTTTTGCCTCGTGAATTTAGACATTGTTTTCCTCAGCTAAAGATGCAGCTGACTTTCTCTCTTTCCCTTTTTGGCAAATACATAATGTCACCTGTAGAAAAAAAATTTGCATCTCCTTTGTGTTAGACATGTGAATGGAAAACAATCTCCTAAAAATGCAGTTTTGCTTCCTACAGTCTTTGAGTTTGCTGAGCTTTGTCTAAGGTCACGGGTTGGGGAAGAAACAACAAGACAAGAACAACGAAACCCACCTGGATCTCTTCACTTACCCGCGCCAACAGCAGATATTTTCCCTAGGAACTTATTTTTCTTTTGCCATTGCCTTTTCTTAGAGGTAAAAATCTCATCAATAAAGGAATCAAAAATGGCCAGGAACCTTTGTTTGCCCATTTAGAACTCTGGCCCTTACTAAAAGCAAGCAAAGTTAGGTAGTTGGCATGGAATTCTAGAAATCTACACACTGAGCTTGGTTTCTGGCTTTTTGCTTGACCCGGGATCATCACTTAACCCACCTCATTTCTTTATTTTTCTAGCCTCCTAAGGAAACTAGTTTTCCAGAATGCATCTTGATGCCTTCAAGGTGAAAGGTACAAGGGAAAGCAAATTATGATGTTACCTTTGTGCTGAAGATCTGCATATTCATCTGCTTTCTGCTGTCCAGAGCTATGATGGCTATTGATTGAGGATCAGTTCGGAAGACATCGCCTATCCTCCTCCCCATTAGCATATACTTAGCAATGACCTCCATTCACGCAGGACAGTGGATGTTTGCTTCCTGCTGAGTCGGAAGAAACTGGGTTTAAACCACACGTATAGATTTAGAAAAGAAGTATATACATGCAGGAATGTTTCCAATGACCTGGTATAAACTTTGGGCATGACGTTTTTGTCATGTGCCTTCACCATTTCAACAAACGTCAGGCAATGATGAAAAATGAGTTCGTTTCCTCTTCTCTTCACTTCTCACCCCTTTTGTAGCATTTAAGCTTAGATCCAAGGTTGTGTGTCATGATGCTATAAATCTAGAAGGAACCACGGGACATGATGTGTGGTCAGCCTGTGTCTTAGCCATCCAGGAAAGACTGTTTATTAAACCATTAAAAAATCAGCAGAGGCCGGGCACGGTGGCTCACGCCTGTAATCCCAGCACTTTGGGAGGCCGAGGCGGGCAGATCACGAGGTCAGGAGACCGAGACCATCCTGGCTAACACAGTGAAACCCCGTCTCTACTAAAAATACAAAAAATTAGCCAGGCGTGGTGGTGGACACCTGTAGTCCCAGCTACTCGGGAGACTGAGGCAGGAGAATGGCGTAAATCCGGGAGGTGGAGCTTGCAGTGAGCTGAGATTGTGCCACTGCACTGCAGCCTGGGTAACAGAGGGAGACTCCATCTCAAAAAAAAAAAAAAAAAATTCGGCAGAATGGGGCCTTGCCTTTAAGAATGCTCTCATTCTTTCTGAGCAAGTTCACTTTTTGGTGCCATATCCTCACAGTATGGTGCTTTTAAGAGATGGGAGATGCTGTTTGGTACTGAGTTCATAAAAGCCATTCATGTACTTGAAGAATATCAAAGTCTCCCTCGGCCTTCTTTTCTCCAGAAGCAAATACCCTTCAGTGCACCTCCATGCCTTCTCGCTCATCTCTGCTGTAGTCTGCTTACTGTTGTCGTTGTTTACCGCTGGGCCCTCTCTAATTTTTCCCCTTCCTTCTTCAGCTGAAAGCTTTAAAACTCGACATCACATTCTCTAAGGAAAACCTGATAGGCTTTCCTTAGAGAATAGGTAGGGTCGCTTTCTGACTTTCAGAGCTGGCATGCGATGTTCGCTTTTTAACAAATGGCGTTATGTTTTCTGCTATCTCTCATGAGCCCCAGGTTCAAACTAAAATCTTTTCATGTTGTGAACAGAGAACTAATCTCCCTCTTACCCCAAGAGAATACACCTTTTATAGGTCCCTGACTCAATGGACATGTAATTTAATTTGTCGTAGCCAATGGATATGAAATCCAATGTAAAATCCTTAATAGATAGTTTTACATGTCAGCTATTATATTATACATCCTCTTTGTGTCCAGTGTGATTGGATGGTGAACACAAATTCTTGTATGATTTTGTTCTCAAAGGACCTGAGCCAGACCCTACTCGGTGCTATGGGCTGATGTCTTCACAATGCGCTACCACTGTAGGGAAGAATTTATCCCTGTAAGAGAGGGCATTTTTACAGAATTGGCCCATGGTGTAAGTGGTAGAACTACCCAACAGGGCACTTACAATTTTTGAGTCCTTTATATGTGCCAGTTCTCATGCTCAGTCCTTAATGTCACTGACCTCAATTATTATTAAACCTTAAGAGATACAGGTTTCATCTGGGCTGTAAGAACAGAGGATTCCCTTTTGGTGGGATATCTCCAAGGAAAACATGAAGCTGAAAGCTTGCCTGATATGTTTGGAGTAAGAGTCAGGTAGAGAGTTTGGGAATAAAACTGTAACAGATACATAGAAAACTAATCAAATGAAAAGGCAAAACAGGGCTGGCTGCAGTGGCTCTCGCCTGTAATCCCAGCACTTTGGGAGACTGAGGCAGGCGAATCACTTGAGGTCAGGAGTTTGAGACCAGCCTGGCCAGCATGGTGAAACCCCATCTCTACTAAAAATACAAAAATTAGCCAGAAGTGGTGGTGGGCGCCTGTAATCCCAGCTACTTGGAAGGCTGAGGCACGAGAATCGCTTGAACCTGGGAGGCGGAGGTTGCAGTGAGCTGAGATAGCACCACTGCACTCCAGTCTGGGCAATAGAGCAGGACTCAGTCTCAAAAAAAGAAAAAAAGGAAAGGCAAAATAGAAATGCAAGAAAACAGAAAGCTGTATAAGTAAATAAATGTAGTCATGAGCTACTATGTAGCTCAGCTATTAAAAATATATGCAGAGATTTTAGAATATAATCACAGACTACTGATTTAAGTAAAAATTGTGATATAACTTGAATCAGAGCACAACCAGGAGATCAGGAATGACTTCAGGTATTTAAAAACAGAAGGAATTGGCCGGGCTTGGTGGCTCACGCTTGTAATTCCAGCACTTTGGGAGGCCGAGGCGGGCAGATCACAATGTCAGGAGATTGAGACCAGCCTGGCCAATATGGTGACACCCCATCTCTACTAAAAATACAAAAATTAGCCAGGCGTGGTGGCGTGTGCCTGTAGTCCCAGCTACTTGGGAGGCTGAAGCAGGAGAATCGTTTGAACCCGGGAGGCGGAGGTTGCAGTAAGCCGAGATCGCGCCACTGCACTCCAGCCTGGGTGACACAGCAATTGTCACACAAGTTTTGTCCAAAAAAAAAAAAGAAAAAAGAAGGAATTTAATCCCGGGAATTGGTTATTCCAGTGATTCAGAGGAGAAGCCTGATGAGGCAGTGAGACAGCCCAGAGGTGCGCAACAGCAGGACACTGCTGCCATCCTGGACTGGAAGGACAAAGGGAGGGGGCCGTGTTGTTGGAGCCCAGTGACCCAGCAGGTGACACAGCTAAATTCTGACCTCCTATGGAAGAAAATTAATAGTCGTGCCTTAAAATGAAAAATCAAGAACTAGCATTAAAAATATATTATCTGGACATACAGAGGTAAAGACAAAAAGGTTCCTAATCCTATTTGCCTTCTTAAAAATGTGTTATATTGATTTAAAATTACATTTAAAAGCAATGTCTTTCGAATACTATTAATCTGTAGTTCTTAACTGGAGTCGTAGTTCACACATGTTTATTTTTTTCCCACTTAGATATGTTGATGATGTGATCAACCGCATTGACAGGATGTTTCCTGAAATGTCCATCCACTTATCCAGACCCAATGGAACATCAGCAATGCTTCTGGTAAGATCAGCTTGACTGATTTGTAGGGATGTTGGGGAAAAAAAATGGACTTCTCAGTTAACTCTCTGGTCCTGTGTTGTAGGATCTATAGAATGGGGATTAAATTCCAATTTGATGGTGAATAACATATTTCCTTTACTGGCATTCTGTAGGTTAATAATTCTGCACATTGAAACCTTGCTTTTGAACAAAATTGCAGATCCCATGTAAGAATTAACCAGAGAGGAAAGACACTGTAAGACCATTTTACCTTAAGTCACTTCATGCAACCTCCCAATGTTTTGGTGAATCTGTTTTCTATCTTCCCCAAAGAAGTATAGTAGACAATAGTGATGCTCAACTGTTGGATCCTGCTAAAGAAAACGCTCTCTTAATACAAAACCAGAATATTATGTATTTGAAGAGAGTGTTCTGAGGCTTGTGACTGATGACTTCTGGTTTTGCCGTTTCTGATTATGGTTTGCGCTGAACACATCACCTCATAATCTCCTGGTGGATGTTTGTATTTGCATGAATTCACCAAAGACAGGTGTGTTTTGGAAATACAGTGGGATAGAAATGCCAGATTATATTATTAATTAGGAAGTCATAGAGACCTCAATGATGAGAAGCTTTTCTAGTGGTCTGTATAATAACACTTGTATGTGCTTGAAGAATACTTCCCTGAACACAGATTTTTGAGGAACTACCACATTTTATAAAAAAGCAGAGTTTATTGAATAAGAATGATGGTTTCAATGGGTGTCAGGGAGGTAAGGTTCAGGACTGGGTATTTTTTCCATCTATTCTGCTGTTGCTGCTTTGGAGCCTAGTGCGAACTCCCTATATTTTAGCATTTTACTTGTGTGAAATCTTATAAATAGCCAGTCACCCAGGATGAGTTACTATTTACTCCAGCCCATTCATCTTAGGGGAACATTGTATGTGCATGTGTGTTTTGGTCTTAAGACAGGAAAAGATCTGGGCTTGTTAAATGTTTGTTACTTCATTTGTGGGGAAAAAAAATTAGTGACATCCACCTGGATAACATGCTACTTAAAAAATTTCTTTCAGTTAAAACATAAAGAAAAGGAGATAATGCTATGGTTTTTTTTTTCATAGAAAAGGGAAACAGTTTTCTTCACATAGAATGTATCTGTCTACAGAACACAAAATATCTTCTGCTTCCAGAGGTTGCAGTGAGCTGAGATCATGCCATTTTACTCCAGCCTAGGCAAAAGAGCGAGACTCTGTCTCCAAAAAAAAAAAGTCTCTCTCAGTTAAATGTACAAATTGCCCAGATTTTAAGATACCCCAGACCCAGCAGTTGAAACATAAATCCTACTCTCAGCATACCTGACAGGGTCCCAAAGAGTTAATGAAGATAGAAATGAATGAATGCATCCTCAGTGAAATTGGTTTGTTCAAATTATTTCTGGGTCATTGAGCTCCCATTTCATGATGAGGGTGGGATTTGGCATTGAAGGGAATGAACAGAGGGAACAAGATTCCAGGCAAACAGGCTACACAGATGAGTTGCTTCCACCTGAGAAGGCAGGCATGTATTTCACAGTGACGGTCGACCTCGCCTGCTTTCCCATGGAGCTTCTGTCCTAATAGACTGATGAGAGAGTTTAGGGACTCAATTCAAGGCAAGAATCACGTTTCACATCCCCGGTTTATTTACTACCACCAACACCCATCCACCCCCGCTAATTCAGACATGTGCATCTAGGTGCCTACTTGTTATCTTTCTTCAGCGACACAGGAACTCACAGAAGCTGGTGCTTACTTACAGCAACAGTGGTAGGTGATCTGATTCAGAATCAGATTGCCACGGGGTTAATCGTACTTTTAACATAATGCCTGCGTTTGGCGTTTACTATTAGAAGTTGGAATTTTATGAGATGGCAAATCTCTAGGCTATTCACTCCTCCCACATCCATCATGAGGTGGGTGACGGGAATTCCTACCTGGAGGGGGAGCAGGACCAACAGATGCCACCTCCCCCACTACCTACTGCTAGTCACCTGTTCCCTGGACTTCACTGGTAAAGTTTTGGGGCCTAGACTGTAGGCAGGAGGTGTAGGCAAGAGTTGAAAGTGTTTTCTGGAGATGAACCTGGAATAAATTGAATTAACCGGGAATGCAGTGTATTCCGGAAGGCGCTGGGGGCAAGTGAGACTGATGGGGAAAGACCAGTTAGGAGACCTTTGAAGCAGGGTGCACTTGAGCAGTCTCAGCCGACGCCTTCCTTTACCTCCCTTGGCGAATGTCCGAACTGCGCCTGTGCTTTTGACATAAAATGGCATTTCCTCCGGAATTGGCTGGGCTTCCTTGAATGCGGTCAACAGCAACTGATTGACTCACATAAGGAAAGAGTTGGTTTGGGTTTTGCTGTTTGATGGTGCCAGGTGCATGAGACTCAGTGATGAAACTGACCTGCCAGGCAGGACAAAAACCAGAGTAGCTCCAGGCATGTCAGGAACAAGATCAGGACAATGTTTTCTAGGGGGCCCCATGGCCCAAATGATTCCATACAAACTGCCTTCCATCCCTGTGCATATAGTCTGGGAAGAACACTCCTGCTGGCCTAGCCTGCCGTTGCTCTTTGCCCTGAGCCCCGAGGATGGGGAAGTCAGGCTTGGCAGCCCCACAGAACTGCAAGGAGTGGAGGGGAAGTAATTCCCTAGAGGAACCAGCCGTCTGTATGACACAGTGAACGTCTGTGTGGACAGAGGCTTGTGGCTTACGCAGCACTTGTCTCATCTGATCCCCACTGTGGCCCTCGAGGTAGGGTAGCACCAACTGTGCTCATTTGACAAGTAGGAACTGGAGGAAGTTGTTTCCTGGGCTTATGCAGTCAGAACACCTATCCCTATCTCCCCAAGCCTCCAGGATGCTATCCCTATCCTTCTCTTGTCTCTGAGGACAGTTCATGCTGGTGGCAAGTAAGATTTGGACTACCAGGCACCAGGCTGATTTTTTCTTTTCCTTTTTCGTTGTTTTTGTTTGTTTGTTTGTTTTTGTTTGTTTGTTTGTTTGTTTTTTGTTTTTGAGACAGATTCTCACTTTGTCACCCAGGCTGGAGTGCAGTGGCGTGATCACAGCTCATTGCAGCCTCAACCGCCTGGGCTCAAGCAATCCTCCCACCTCAGCCTCCTGAATAGCTGGGACCACAGGTGTGTGCCACCATGCCTGGCTAATTTTTGCATTTTTTGTAGAGATGGCAGGCTTGTCTCGAACTCCTCAGCTCAAGTGATATGTCTGCCTCAGCCTCCCAAAGTGCTGGGATTACAGATATAAGCCACTGTACTTGGCCAGTTTTTTCTTAAAAATTTTAAATTATGTAATTTGATATATACTAAAGAATATATGTAATGTATATGTAAATTATAAAGCTTAGATAAACCCATGAGCTCATCACTCAATTTGAGAAATAGAACATAACCAATATGACTCCTCCCTAATCCCTGCCTCCTGACCCATGGTCATCTCCACTCTGAGAGGCACCCCCTTCTCATTTTTAAAATGCAGTTCGCCACATGTGCCTGTATCGCTAAATAATGCCTCCTTGAGTTTTGAGCTGTGTAAAAATAGTGTCATACTATGTATATTGTTTCTGAGCTGTATCCCTGATGGTGGTCTATCTTGCAGTTTGATCATTGTCATCTAATGACCATCCTGTGACTGTCCACACTTTATCCTTTCTCTTGCCAAGGCACATTGGGGTTGTTTACAATTTTGCTTTACAACTAATGTTGGCATGAGCATTCTCTTGCATATACCAGGATACTTTTTTTTGAAAGTTTTTATTTTAATTTTTGTGGGTACACAGTAGGTGTATATATTTATGGGGTACATGAGACACTTTGATACAGGCCTGTGATGCGTAATCATCACATCCTGGTAAATGGATATCCATCCTCTCAAGCATTTATTCTTTGTTTTGTTAAGTTATCCAGTTATACTCTTTTAGTTATTTTTAAATGTACAATTAAATTGTTATTGATTGTAGTCACCCTGGTGTGCTATGAAATACTAAGGCTTACTTATTTTTGCTAACTACTTTTTGTACCTGTTAAACATCCCCACTATCCTGCCCCCATACTCCCACCCCAACTATCCCTCTCAGCTCCTGGTAACCATCCTTCTATCTCCAGGAGTTCAATTACTTTAATTTTTACCTCCCACAAATAAATGAGACCATAATAAAGTTTGTCTTTCTGTGCCTGGCTTATTTCACGTAACTTAACAATCTTCATTTCCACCCATGTTGTTGCAAATGACAGGATCTCGTACTTTTTTATGGCTGAATAGTACTCCGTTGTGTATGTGTACCACATTTTCTTTATCCACTCATCTCTTGATGGACACTTAGGTTGTTTCCAAATTTTGGCTGTTGTGAACAGTGCTACAACAAACATGGGGGTGCAGCTATCTCTTCGATATACTGGTTTCCTTTCTTTTGGATATATATGCAGCAGTAGGATTGCTGGGTCATATGGTAGCTCTATTTTTAGGTTTTCTGAGGAACCTCAAAACTGTTCTCCATAGTGGTTGTACTAATTTACATTCCCACCAACAGTACACAAGGGTTCTCTTCTCTCCACATCCTCGCCAGCATTTGTTATTGCCTGTCTTTGGATAAAAGCTATTGTAACTGGGTTTTTGCCGTTTTGTATGTCTTCTTTTGAGAAATATCTATTCAGATCTTTTGCCTATTTTTTAATCGGATCATTAGATTTTTTTTCCTGTAGAGTTCAAGCTCCTTATATATCCTGGCTATTAATCCTTTGTCAGATGGGTAGTTTGCAAATTTCGTAATATTGCAGATCCAGTCTACGGACTGTCTCTTCACTTTGTTGATTGTTTCCTTTGCTGTACAGAAGCTTTTTAACTTGATGTGATCCCATTTATCCATTTTTGCTTTGGTTGCCTATGTTTATGGGATATTACTCAAGACATTTTTGCTCAGACCAATGTCCTGGAGAGTTTCCCCAGCATTTTCTTGTAATAGG